GTCTGTCTGTCTGTCTGTCTGTCTGTCTATCTATCTATCTATCTAACTATCTCTCATCTATCTATCTATCTATCTATCTATCTATCTATCTATCTATCTATCTATCTATCTTCTAGAAGAGGGGAAGAAAGGCCCTTCTCAATGGCACCCTGTCTGATAAATGCTTTGACGTCTATAAATGCCCGGGCAACGCCGGGGCATCAGCTAGTAGATTTATTAAAAGGTTACAATGAGCATTAGAGAGAATGTAAGTTTTTGTTTTCATAAAGGTCTTAATATACAGTAAAATTCATACTCTGAATAATTGATGTATATCTGCACATAAATTATAAAACTGCTACCGGTGCTAAACTAACCCGAAATATTAATACTATGAGGTTCCCTGGTTCACATCACTTTTTAAAATGATTTCCCATTATTTAGCTGCAAGAACAACTTGTAACATATACTCTCTGAATTATAAGCCATCTGGTTGCAAGTATCTGTTTTATAAAGCTTTAGTTTGCTGTAAAAACGCATCTCATTGCTAGATATTTGATTACATAGTAATGCATACTAGTCCTTCTTAGATGGACCCTAGAATATATCCCTGATAATGAATATCTCTTCTGACAAGTATAATTCTGGCATAAAGAGATGTGGTTTTATGAAATGACCTTTTAACAATTACATTTAAAGATTTTTCAAACATGTATAACTATTTTTGTTATTAAAAATGTAATGGGTGATGGTTTGAAGCCCAGAACTAGAGACTGCTGAATTCCATTATACAGATAAAGGACAAGATATTCAGCCTTTCAGTGTACTTCTATGAAATAAAATACTTCAATTAGCACTGATTCAGGTATCTATAGACTAGTGTGAATACTACTAAACATAAACATTCAAAACCATGATACCAATTAATGAGTAGTCTACCATATCAGCCTCAACCCAATACCCAGTTCTAGAGTATCCTCCAAAATAAAATAAAATAAAATAAAAATGATTTATTTCTTTTTAAACCTCATAAGATAGCCAAGCCTCATTTGTATGTTATGTGAATTCAGCCCATGGAGTTAGTTTAGAGTTCAGTGAGTTACATCAACTTAGGCAAGTGAGTTTAGTAAACCATGTTTTAGCGTGTTACATATACAGTGTAAGAATTAGGTCAATTGTCTTTTTTCACTAAAATAAATTATTAGCTGGTTTTTGTACCTACTTTCTATGTAACATAAAATAATAGAATTGTTTGCACTATCTTTTCCTTGCATTGTGGTTAGCAATTTAATATAGCAAACAAATTATTTCTTTTTTGGCAATGCTGAACAATTATTAATCTTGAAATGTTCTAGTATAGGGAACTCTGACATTTTGTTTGTTTTGTTAGGGAACAAAAAACTTGAACTTCAACACTCTCAGGGCAAATTTATTGTCAAATTTATTTGGTCATCCATTACACAGAAAGTGTATCTGGGCAGTGTACAATAATCCATTATAACAGTAAATAAGTAAAACAATCAATACCTACAATCAAATTATAAGAAAATACCATACAGAAAGCTAGACAAGACATTTCTCCAGCAAGAAACGAACAAGAAATGATTAGGGTAAAGATCCCAACTAAGAGATATACAGTATCTTCTAAAATATTCCAATCATTGGTATGAAAAAATAAAAGTGATTATAATAAGTGACATATTACTGATAAGTTTCATAGATGATCCTAGAATGATATAAATCACTGGGGGGATTGTGCCTAAGATACCTCCAAGAAAACAAAATTCAATGCAATCCAATGGATAAATTTTAAAATTACAACTTTGTCATGAAAATGTAAAGTAACTTGG